AGAACAGTGATTAATGTTAGAATGACACTCTTTTGGAGAGTTGCCAGTTTGCTACGATTGAAAGATCTTTTGATGTTTCTTATTAGACTAAAATAGACATACATGCTTTTTATCGACAAAACTATAGGTTACTTATCCACACAATAGTATAAGTGATGATTACGGTAGTACAAATGTGACGATATAGGTGCAGGGCGGTGCGCGCGCTGGTGGCGGGGCGAAGGCCTACGGGGGTGTGTACACTGCCACCACGGCCGCCACCTCGTACCCCACGCAGCCCTACAGCGCGCCCGCCGCGCAGCCCGCCAAACGTATGTATGGTACATATTGCTGATCACATTTATGATAAATTAAGCTCCCACTTACACCTCGGACAGCGCCCATATTTATCCCCCCTCCCACATAAAAATCCTCTATTACTAAAAAAAATTGATCAGTACGAGCTGATCAGTTAAAATTGTTTGTGTGTAGCCTTTAACTGAATAGTTAGACTTTGCATATACACACAGTTTTTTCTTTTATAGTCAATATATGGTATGTATTGCTATATTTGTTTCATTTGTTGTTTGATGCTTAATGCATGTGTTTGCAAATATCGTTGTTGTATTTGTATTTGAAGTGTGTTGTGAGAGCACAATGTTTGGTTTAACACAAGCTGTTTGTTGCAGCTCTGTACAATGCCGCCACTATGTATGTCGCGCAACAAGCTAAGACTGGAGGGGGCAGGTAACGTATTATGTTTTTATATTAAAGATATTTAAACTAATAAGCAGAATAAAGTCGATTATATTAATCAGGGGAGAGTTAAAACACTAATTTACTTTACATCCCACTTAGGGACTCAGAGTGTACCCTAAGTTACTGTTAAAACCATTGTCAATCCCACTAACCTGGTATGGATTGATTTCACACATCTTTTGTATTTTCCATCGGAGACATTACGATGTTGTCCGTAACTGTAAGAATATTCGATAAATATACATATAAAATTCGACAAACCAAAATCACATCGGTACAAGACAGGATTCCAACCCATGACCTGCATTACAGGCACCTGATACTTGTCTATGTTTTATGGGTAAAACGTTATTTTTCATATTAGTATTTATAATTATGATATTCTGCAGCGGTTGGAAGAATTACAACAAGGGCGGCGTGGGCGCGGGGCAGTCGCGG